TTTCAGAAATACTTTCAGCACGTGAGAAGCGTAGTACTGCACTAAATTTACGACTTTTCTATCCATCGTCTGTTGCTCTTCGGCAGCGTTTTTTTCTATCGACTTTCGAAAAATCTTGGTTTATAGAGGTAAGATGTATCTTATACACAAATTGTACACAAAACATATACTGAATTTAACAACTTTCCTCTTCCCTTTCTAGCGACAATATATAAAAACAAAATATGAATAATACTTCAGATTTTTTACGATGTGCACATACGGATACATTACAAATACACACGCCGCGGAGCACTCACAACACTACTAAATAATTCAGTAGTGTTGACTGCTCCGCCACTATATAGTATACCTTAGAATTAAAAGGCAATCACTCGAACTATGACCATCCCAGAAAATAAAAATATTACAGGTGTGCTTCTCTATTTCGCGCATAATTTATACGAAATGTGGTTGATAAGGGTCGGTAAACCGCATCTCCAAGTATGTTGTTTGATCAAATAGTTGCGTGACTAATTGTGTAGCGAAAAATGAGAGGGCGGCAGAGAAATTCGCGCATAGTAGTCGAACACTGGGACCGTCCTGCGTCAATATGGCAAAGGGCGTAGTTCTGTGAACATTTGTAACAGTGCTACACGAGTTTGTTTGGCCACATGCAGGAGCAAAATATTTTATGCTCGTGCATGCGGTCTTTAGTCTGAGAACCAAAGCGAGAGTGATTATTGATTTCACATAAAACTGGGCAAATTTAATACAGAGACTTATGAAATTGTATAGAAGGCTTATGTCAAAAAGCAGTGAGGCGTGCGAGGTGTTTCGAGTCGTACTCGCGCGTCAAGAACGGCAGAACTTGAATAAAGTCAAGGAAAGGTAAGATAAGGACGCCCAACCGCTTTTCTTCTTCAAGTGATGTCCTGCGTTTACTGAAAAGGCGAGGCCACCTAAAATCGTTCACAAAAGTCTCTGCTTTTTTACACAAGACTGCTGAATCATTAAAACGGTCTCTCTTTCTTATGTGCCCAGTTTGACGCAGAATTGATGTTCGCTCTCTCTCCGCTTTGCAGTCTGAGGTGAAATCGCCAGTCTGGCCGTGCACGTGGTCACATAAACTCGCGCAGCTCTACTACAAGTGGTCACAGAGCGACGCACTTTGGTATAACGCGACAGAAAGGTCCCTTGCTTCCACTGCGGCGCGCCCATCACAGTGATGTCCTCTCTTTTTATGCTACAAAATCAGTCCCTGAACTTTTTAATAACGCCTCGTATAACGCATTACAATATGCGCTCATTATTTCACACAGTCGAAAAAGCAGTCACCGCAAGAAGGCTCCAACTGGATGTGGTACCGTTTCTCCGCACTGCACCTTGTTATTTCATTGATTCTAGTCTATATAAATTCCCAAGAAATATGGTGACAAAGTTTATCGAGACGTGGTGAAAAAAAAGCTTCTCTGTAGTATTTCTACCGGATGTACTCTATAGAGTCCGGCTGAAAGAAAATTGATTGAAAGTCTACTGAAAATGCTCGATACGACGTGACCGGATACGAAGTTTGAAGAGCCGTTATTGTGGGCAGGATTTGTATAGACTGACTGAAAAGTTCTTTGTAAGGGTTGAAACGGTTATGTGTTATTGTTCAGTAGAGAGTCTTAGAATGTGAGATCTCAGTGCATTGGTTTCCCCAAGCAGCTTGGGGCATCGCACAAAGTGCGCGTAAAACGCCTGAGTATGCGGAGTGCATCGCCACCGGCTGATTGAGGGAGCTGGAGCTGGGTCCTGTATTCAAGAACACTTTAATGCCAACGCGCCATTGCTAGCAACAGCGAATGTTGCCCCCTCCAATAGTTATTAAATTGAGTAAGCTACATAATTTGATTAGCCTAGTTGACGTAAGCGCAGCCCTTCTAAATTTTGTTTTAATTCATATTTCTAAATTAAACTTTTTTTCTCTCGATGTACATTACTATACTAAGTGGTACGCGAAAACGGCGTTTTCTCTTGTTACTAGCTGCAGTGAAACTTCTTAGTAAGGGCTCCGAATGACCGTATTCCACTGGATTGATTGTTTCTACGGCAATCTTGGGTGTAACAGAGAAGACCTAGCCGTTACGAGCTTATGCCAACTAGCTTGCTCTTCGCATCTTTTTTTTAAAGTAAGCTACAGTCACTTGCTCAGGGCGTGGCTTAAGCTCACTCTTCTTACTTTGTGATTCACTGTTCAGAGTACTTACTGTGACGCACAACAATAAAATGCTTCAGACTCGCCACGTGCTGCGTTTCTTCAGATTTAATTTACTATGTCCTTCATTCAACCTTACGTCCAGACGCAGCGGATGCTACGAGCTGATAGTACAAATCACACAGTTCCAAAAGCGCACCATCATTCTGTTCGTCGTGTTTTTGTACGTGTTCTATCATCGCTGAAGCAACTTTAAACCAGTGTTGAACAAAATTCTCGATAAAATTATTTAAGTTAAGTTACTTAATACCTGCTTCATAAAGTATTTAAATACTACTCAAGTTACTTTCACTATAAAATATCTTGAGTAGAGTACAAATACTTAGAAATGTAATTCAATTAGTTTTGAAGATACTTCCGCATTGCGTACTTTCTATCGACGTCAGTGACAACGACAACTATACAGCTGCGCAAATCTGACTTACCAGAATGGCTTATTAGCACGCAACAACATAAAACGGGAAAATAAAGTATGGTAGGGCTATTTTATGCAGTCCGACTATAAGAAGGAAAATGTTGTCACGAATGGCAAATGATGAGGCGGCGAATAACTGAACAAACCAAAAGTTTAATGGGGCGAACTTATGGCCAAAACAAAATAGACAAAGGCTAGCGTTGATGTCGGCGAAACAGCAGGATCGACCGCTAGGGCGAGACTAACTCCGGACCGCCACTCGGAGCACCTTTCGTACCCGCGCGTGTTCTGGGGCATTCGGCGTCGAAATTTCGGCGCGTAAAACATTCGTAACTCATCAGACGACAAGGTTCTCGAACTTATGAGGTTGTCAAATTGAAAGAATGAATAAAAGAGAAGTTCGCTCCCCGGTTTCGAACCCGGAGCCTCCGCACGAGAGCCTCCGCGCGAGAGCCAAGCCCAGTAACCATTCGGCCAGAAGCTCGCTGGGCAACGCGCGTGTTAATTAATATCACTGATAGATGTTACAAAACATTTCTGGGACAACAAAAAAGAGGTGATGTTACAAAACATTTCTGGGACAACAAAAAAGAGGTCGCTTTATGGGGAGCAGATCAGACCGTGCGCCCTAAGCGGTTCACTTTAGAGCTAGACGGATGGGGACAACAAGTACAATGGCTCAGCGCTCGGCTAACCGAACGCGGCGTCAGCGTTCGGCTGGAGTTCATGTTCTCCAGTGAGGGGAGGAAAGGCTCTTTTGTTACCACTCCGGCCTGCATGAACAATGCAGCATGCAGGGTGCCCAGCTCAGCACGAAAGCCCAAGTGGGTCAAGCTTGCATCCTCTGGGGACTACTTTCGGCAGAGATGCGGCACTTAACGTCACTTTACTAATTGTTGGTACTTTTTAATTAAACCGTGCCCCGCGCTCTATTAAAAAAACATGACATGAACATGCCCACAAGGGTGTGGGCATTTGCACAGGCTTTGTGTTGGGCAAACATTGAGGTGTGGGGGTCAAAAAAGGGTCAGAGCGCTTCTCCAATAGTGACATCGCTGAATATCACGTCCGGCGGCGCACTTTAGATACATCGTTTAACTACAATCCATATGGGGAGTTCACTATAAACGAACTTGGGACACGGATATGAGTGGATGGATAACAAAGAGAACCCACATGATAGCCACGGCAGTCGTCACACCCTCTTCAAGTAGGTTGCGTTCAGAAAGGCACTCAGCGTTGGGGGACACTGTTGAAATTTTGTAGGTCGTCCCGCTCGCAGTTCGTCTCCTCTACTGTTCTTTGCTTATCACTGTTCCCCTACAGACAGTGTTCGCCAGAGCAATAAGTGCCAAACAAACAACGCAAAAAAAACCTCGACGTTTTGCCTTAGCGGGGTCAAATATACAAATTCAAAACAAAAATGTCTACTTTTTTGTGTGTGTCCAGTTCTCATTTTCTTTTATTTGCTATTTTCTGGACACTCAAGTCTGCATTCTTGTCGTAGGTCGTTTCGCTTTCTGCGTTGCGCCGCAGTGTGGCATCTGTACTTTCGTAAAACCACACCTTTTGTTTGAGAATTTTTTTGGGAGAAACTCTATAGAAACAAAAGGCGCCTTTGGGAAGGCGAGGGGAGAACCTTCATCGTACAAATTTTGGGCTTAAATATGAGTCACAATTGGAAAAAAAAGCGATGTTTTCACGAGCTCAGTCAAAGTCACCGTAGCTAGTCGGAGCTAGCAACAGGATTTGGTTGCTTGAACGAATGTTCACGTTTGCTCGTGCCACGCCCACGCCACTTCATACCGAAAAACTTCGAAAATGGCGGAATGTAGAAAATGTATTTAAGGTAATGAGTACAAGATACTCAGAATTGTAATTAAAATAGAGTATCAAATACTCTCGATCAAAGGTATTTGCAAGATACCAAGATACTTCAAAAAATATTTAAGAGACAGTATCTTGAGTAGAGTATTTGAGATAGGCACAAGTCTGCTTTAAACAAATAAGGCCTAAGGACTTCCGTTTTTGATGCTGCCCTATTTGGTTCCATTACACTGTAACTTCGGCTGCGTCTGCACCTAAAGTCAAACGAAGTGTATAGCAAAGAGTTCTTCATAATAAAAAAGAATATACTTTAGTGTTTCTGCTTCCTACAATTTTGTTTGTTTGTTTTGCTTCTAAATTTATTCAGTTATTCTTACACTTACGCCGGTTCAATTAAGGGTTTTTCGTTTTTAAGCGTAAAAATGCTATGGAAAATTATAAAGAAATGTCCCACACCGGTAATTGAAGCTTTTACCATCAACCAAAACGCACGAAGTGTAAGAAAATTGATCTCTTTACCTTTTTGCAGCTTGTGCTGGAGTACGTATTTGGTGATTTGACTGTTGCCGTTGTAAGGAGCATTCCACTGCAACGTGGCCGAGCGACTCGTGAAGTTCATGACCTCAACACCTGTCGGCGCGTCGGGAGGCTCTGCAAAAAATAATACAAAAGTGGGTGTAATTTATCGCTTCTTCGCTTCACTTTTTTGACATGAGATACATAAAATACGTGTGTTTCGTTACGTGACTTATCATTCTCTAATCGTTTCTTTATCAGTTTATTTGATTTATTTACATAGATTTAGATATACTGCGCCTTGCAACACAATGTGAGGGCATGGTACGCTGCTTTATTTTGAGCACACATTATTAAATGAAGACGACGAATGCAACATAAAAAAATGATATCGCGGCGTGGAGGAGCCCAACTCGTGTACTTAGATGTTAAAGTGTTTCCATAGGCTCGATAAAGGTCATACATTTTGTGGGCCGAATTTGCTATCCGATCGGCGACGAAGTAAAGAAAGCGTGGATCGTCTGCCAACTTCTCCCATCTTCTCTCGCTTTCCCTCTTGCTAGGCGACAATGGAACGCATGCACACTTTGACTCGACACCAAGGGGTGTCGAGGCATTAAATTGCTAACGCCTTTCACAGTTTGAGTTGGTTCCTCTTTTGAATTTATAGTTTCGCTCAGCACAACTACGAAGTGGAGAATTCGTGACAACGTTATTTTCAAAGAAAAAAAAACGGGTAAAGTGCAGGCGAGCTGGTGCAAGCAATACATGATTATTGAAGCCTGAGACTGTGGCTTGAAAAACGGAAACTCGTGAAGTAGAAAGAAAAAGGGGCAGACAACGTCTGAAACTCAGCTCAGGGCTGAGTTTGAGACGTCCTCTGTCCCTTTTTCTTTTTACTTCAAGAGTTTCCGTTTTAGAGCGCAGCTCCTAGGCGCCAGTTTCCGGCTTGAGCGGCGTCGGCGTCGCCGTCGCCATCGGTATCGGCGTCGGCGTGGCCGTCGGCGTAACCGCGCGGTGCATTATGGGACGCGTGACGTCACTGATGACGTCATCAGTGACGTCACGCGTCCCATAATGCACGGCGCGGTTACGCCGACGGCGACGCCGACGCCGACGCCAATATAATGTAATGTTTATAAATATAATTACCGTAATTTTCTATTTTCATTATTTTCATAACCGTGGGGCAGGGTCACGTGACCTCGGGGAGTAAGGGGGGAAGGGTCACGTGACCTTAGGGGGCCAGGTGACCTGGGGGAGAGATCACGTGACTTGGGGGGTCACGTGACCTTCCGGCTTGAGCGGCGTCGGCGTCGCTGTCACCGTCGCCGTCGGCGTAACCGCGAGCCCCCCCCCCCCCCCGCCCCCCACCCAAGGACCTCAGGAGGACCTCGGGAGGAACTCGGGAAAACCTCGGGCCACGTGACCTGCGGGGGTCACGTGACCTGAGAGGGTCACATGACCGGGGGGTGACGTGACCTCGCGTTTATGCTGACGGCGACGGTGACGTCATCACTGATTCAATTATTTGAATAATTATTAAATTATTAAACATTCTGAAATCAATCCCTGTTGACGTCATCAGTGACGTCACTGATTACGCTGACGTCACTGATGACGTCATCGGCATCGTAATCGTCACTGATGACGTCACTGATGACGTCATCGTCACGTGAGCTCTAGGGGTCACCTGACCCCGGTGACGTCACATGACCCCCGTGAGGTCACGCGCCCCTCGGGAGGCGACGGCGACGCCGCTCGGAGAGAGGAGTACCAGACAGGATGAGGACGTGAGGAGGAGGGAGGAGGGGTATACCTTCCCCTCAGTACCCTCCCTCCTCCTCCTCAAGAGCCGCGCTCTAATTAGGCGTTGCAGGAAGTTGTAAACGGGTTTCATTTTTTCAAACCACTCAGGTTTCAATCATCATGTGTTATTTTCAAAGAAGTTTGAACCTTAGAAAGGCCCGAGAGACAAATATAGATATGAACGGATTCTGTTTTATTGCGAAGAGTTTAATTGATCACGCAGTATTGATTATTGAAAACCGGAGAATAAAATGCTCACATAATTAAATTTTTGAAATTTGAAATTAATAAACAATTGCTTTTTTCTTTTTTCAGAATTAATTAAGGAATTCAAATTTCTTTAACTATTGATCAGTCGATTAGCCTCTGACTTGAAGGTATTAGGTAGTGTTAGAAACAGCAACACATAATTCAATATCCAAAATGCGTAACGAAAGATTTGAAATAATGTCTAATGGAGCAACGAATATTTAACAATGCACGTACATTCAAATTTCTACTAATACCACTGAAGTATTGGTTTTTTTCAAACTGTGTAATACAAGCGTATTTTTTCTTCTTCACACGTTGCGTTAGTGGAGTGAGAGGCACGTGTTTCCCACCAACCGTTATTAAACTGCGCAAAAATAAAACCGAACTAAACGTTTCAACATTTTATTGCATACAAGCCTAAGTGCTTTCGAAAACAACTGATTCCCGATTTTCTGGAATTCGCTATAAATGTTCATCAGGAGAAAAAAACAATATGATTTCCACAGATTGTTCATCTTTACCTGTCGGGGGTCAGGGCTGTAAAAATGAACATATGTGTTAATTGAATAATAAAGAAAACACAAGCGTGAGACAAACTTGTGAAAACTCTGCTGCCTGTCTTTAGCGAGTAAATATATAAGGGTGGAGGCGAGCTGGTAAACACTAACCACGTAGAATTAACCTCAGGCTGGGGTAAAAACCAGGGTTCCTCAGACTGGGAATCAGCATCAGGAATCAGCATCAGATACAGGACTACGTCAGCCGGTGTAAAACATGCATTCAGCATCGACGACCACACACAGAGCCTCTGCATCCGACTCTTTTAGCCGATCGCCCGTGGCAGGAACTCGGAACAGACATTTTCTAGCTCAGTGGAAAGAAGTACGTAGTAGACATCGACTACTACTCGAAGTTCATAGAGTTGGAAGAACTTTTACGAACAAACACAAAACACATAACAAAAGTGTTCAGCCAGATATTCGCGAGGCATGGATGCCCAGAAGTACTACACTCGAATAATGGCCCTCCGTTTCGATCAAACGACTTACGGCGGTTTGCAAACGAATGGGAAGTCAAATTGGTGACTTCGAGCCCTTACTACGCTCAAAGTAATGGAGAGGCTGAGCGAGCTGTACAAACAGCCATAACTCTCCTGAGCAGATCACCCAATGTAGCACAGGCTCTTCTTGCCCACAGAACAGCTCGAGGCTTAGAAGGTCTCTCTCCAGCGGAACTCCTCATGGGGAGGAAGTTACGTTCAACAGTTACAACTGCGCCAAATACACTGACGCCCCGGTGGCACCATGTACGCAAGTATAGGCGACAGTACGACAAACGAAAAACAAGAGAAGCCTCGCACTACAATCGACGCCATCCTACAAGAGATCGCAAAACGATACCTCCTCACTCAGAGGTGTGGATAGACGCGGGCGCAGCTTCTCAAACAAGAATACACCACCAGGTGGGAATGCCGCGGTCACACGTGATGGAAACAAGTGAAGGAACAGTGAGACACACAAGCCGTCATCTGCAGCCCGCGTCTTTGGAAGTGGACCACCAGACGGTCGGACAACAGCAGCCCGCGAGTTCGGATGTACACAACCGGAAAGTCGGGCAACAATGCACCGAAACCTTCTCAAGTGTAACAAGGAGCGGCAGGGTATCACGCCCACCAGACTGCTACGGACATTAATGCTTCGAAAGGAGGAGTTGTCATATAAAGCGCCTCGCGGTCTGGGAGGCGTGTGGGGACAAAAAGAAGACGAGTGGTGTGCACGATTGAGGGATAAACCCGACGGTGTTCTAGTTACTCTTGTCTCGGCTCCTCTTTACATAGCACTCTGTAACACGACAATTACGTTATTGAATTTGTCAGTTCAGTCGTTGAGTGATTTATTTATAAGCCGGTTAAAAAACCTAAAAAGAGCACCCATACATAGAAAAACATACATAGAGGGGCTACAGTATGACTAAAGTTCCATATTTTCGGAAAAATCCGAAAAAAATCCGAGAAACACTCGCCGGTAATTTTCCGTCAATTCGGGTTTATACCAACAAAAAAAAAAAAAAAACTCCGGATGTCGAGATCACAGCGACAAAATAAACAGCAAAAAAGAGGAAGTTTTACAACAAAACTTTATAAGAGCACAAGGTATGTGGTCTTGAGGAGATTCCACTTCAGTTTCCTTTGAAATTGGGAACTACTGCTTGTAGCACGAGGGGGTTCCTTCGGGACAACGGGTCATGGTACCCGGACCTTATTTATGTTGTTTTCAATTTTGTTTTTAAATTTTAGGCAGTAAAATAAACACCGAATTTCAAAGAATCGGGAATCAAAAATAAACTCCGATAAACCCCGAATCCCCGACGAAAAATAAACTCCGAAAACCGCCCTCCGTATTTCACAAGACATAGTCTTCGAAAAAACGGAATCCAAACTATCACCTGAAAGAGTTAACAATAGCGTGTAACAAGCTCACATTCTAGTCAAGTTCTTAGAACATGTATAGCTGCGTCTGAGAAACTACTGTGTTGAGTTGCTCGTTAGACTGTTGCCTTCGTGGGCCTTCCACGCTCTTCTTGAACATAATCATCATAAGAGGAAACTTCACAGATAAATAAACTTGAATAAATTAGCACATTTCCATGTCTAAAATTATGTCGATCCCACGTCGTAAACGCACCCAACGGGCGACAAAACCATGTCAGAAAAAAAAAAAAACTGGTGTCGTTAGCGATGGGGTTTTATAATCAGTACGAGCTCCTTACGAAATTTGAAACCAAAACTGACCGAATCGCGGTGAAGGGATGTCGTAAAAATGTCTTTAGAAACTTAGGAGTAAAAGAGGTGTAATCTAACTATTGCTAAAAGCGCAGGAAAAAATGTGTAGATTATAACTAGCACCTACATGCCATTTGTTTCGTGTGCAATGGAGTAGGGAGTGGATTTCTCGTTTCAACTCATGAAGATATTTTCTTTTGTTTAGTGGATATCACTTTTAATTGACACTCAGCTTACAGTATTTTATTAGTAAATTATTTTAATGCACCAAGCTCCAAAGTTCTATTTAGAG